CCAAGGTCGCGCCATTCGAATTACTGTTCGGCAGAGAACCACGGATTGCGCTCGATACTTGCCTACCGAACCAGGGTGAGCGGAAACATCCAGCTGGGCATCAAGAGCGACTGCGAGGGAAAGCTAGAAGCGAAACCAAAGCTCGACAAGCGCGGAATAAGCGAAATTACGACGCCAGGCATGAAGCTCACAAGTGGAGGCCATTCAGGATTGGAGAACAAGTCAAGTTACGGAACAACGATCGGCCGGATCATGACGGGCCGGGCGCAAGCAAGTTCAGGGAACGCTGGAAAGGCCCCTACACCATTATCGACCAGAAAGCAGGCAACTTCTTAATCGACTGCGGAGGAATGAAACGTTGGGTGAATGCTGCTCTCCTGCGACCATGGTACGAGAGGAAGAAAGGTCCTCGAGGAGGGGCGGGTGTAGAGGGGCCGCTTCCAAGAATGTCTCGGGGGAGCTCTTCGGAGCGAGCTGAGAGCGGATCGAGAAGGACGGCTAGCGACGAGCCTGGGCCCGGAACTACGGAGCGGAAATGTGTGGACAGCGCAATAGATCAGACAAATACGCCGCTAGCGCAGCCCACAGGACCGAGGCCGAGCCGATAGACACAGCCCAGAACGAGCAAGTCGAGAGCTCTCGAACGACTCCTGGCCGATCCAAATCGGGTGCAGAGAAGTGGGGATCGAGGCGAAAACAGGAAGGCAGATCTTCCAAGTCAGAGCTCCCGAAGCGAAAGGACTGGCTCGCCTCTAACATCCGTACCTGTGTTGCGTTGTGGGACGGAAATCTAGTCGATATTCGATGGCGCGCGCGAGACCCTCATGTGCCCATTTTCGGTGTGCAATAAACGTCTACCCCCCTGTCTTGTCGTTCTCGCTACACTATGTCTGGCCAGATTGACACTCAAATCCGAAACCGCGTGCGGCCATCCAAATATAACATGCCACTTGCAGGGTAGAGACAGAAGAACTCAGTTCTGATGGCCATGCATACAATCTGCTTTTTTGACGTCTTGCGTTGCGTTGCTAACGCACGTTACAATCTTATTGCTACTGTTACCTTATGCCTACCTTCATTCTCGCGATTATGTCCGCTATAAGTCAATGAAGCATCGAGCTGCTCACTCTAGCTACTGTGGCGATATTTCATAAAGACAAAATAATGTATTCTTTGTCCAGGAGAAGAACGGGCTCAGCCAAGTGTTAGGTATCACACGCAAGCTTCATAAGATCCGGCGGAAATTCAGATTAACAGCAGACTTTGCGCTAATACTGCAGCAGGCAAAGATCATCGAAGAACTCGGGCATCTAAATGTTCGCAATCTCATATTAGAAGAATACAAAGCTTTGAATGGCCCGAGTAAAACAACGGAACTGTCCAAACTGTTTCGTGCCAGAGGTTTGCGTCGCAGTAATTCCATCAATTTTATCATTATGCCGGATGGCACATACCTTGATGCTCCGGGTGAAATTTGTGAGGCTTTCAGCGCCTAATTCGCCGAATCAATGGTTGATGAACCGCTAGCCACACCAGCGCTTGTCACACCACACATTGCTGAAAGTTTATGCACAGTGGAATTCACTCTTGCAAAAATCTCCGGTCAAGTCTCCCGCTTGTCTTCCTCGACTTACCCAGGACCTGATGGAATTCCCCCTTGTTTGTTAAAAAGCGCTAGGAGTGACTTGCCTCTTCTATTGCTCAACATTTTTACGCTCTCTTTTAACAGTGCAGTATATCCTAATCACTGGAAGACTTCCGTTGTTATCCCGCGGCATAAGAATGGAAACGTTCACGAAATTAAAAACTATCGCCCCATCAATCACACACCTGTAATATCTAGAATTATGGAAAGGATAGTGAAAGATGAATTACTTATTTTCTTGAATAAGAAAAACGTCATCAACAATTCACCACATGGTTTTTTGCAGGACAGATCTTGTGCGACGTGCCAGACAGACTTCTTAAACCACACAACGGCTGCCATAGACACAGGCAACAGTGTTATTGTCCTGTTCTTAGACATACAAAAAGCATTCGACAGAGTGCCGCATCGAAGACTACTCCTCAAGCTGAAGGAAATAGGTATTGGAGAACCAATGTTTTCTTGGTTGTCGTCATACCTAACTGACAGACATCAGGTGGTGCGTATTGGGGACCGTGTCTCTAAACCGAAAGCAGTCACCAGTGGAGTAATTCAGGGAAGTGTACTTGGTCCACTTCTTTTTCTCCTCTACGTCAACGATGTATTTCATAGAATAAGACATGGTGCTACTTTTCTGTTTGCTGATGACATTAAAATAGTCTGCTCACAAGAACGTGCAGATACCCGCGCAGCCTTGTGCCACATTCAGAAAGATCTATCGGCACTTGAATGCTGGTGCAAACTGTGGCAGATGTACTTTTCCGTGGACAAGTGTAATATTCTGTCGTACAAATGCGAAGTTCCACCAGGCAGTCTATTATTACAAGGCACGTTTATATCACAGTGCAAAGTGATTCGCGACTTGGGTGTGCGGTATTCCACTACCTTCAACTTTTCGGAACATTGTGACTTCCAAGTTTCGAAAGCCATGAAGACTATTGGCTATATCTGTCATAAATTTCAACTCACAGAATCTCGTATCTGGCTTTACAAATAATATGTGTTACCTGACATGGAATACTATTCACTACTACAGTCGAATCTGCGGAAATCTGACCAGCATGCTCTTGCGAGGGTACAGCGACGTTTTACAAAGAAGCTGTGCGGATATTCCTCCAAGATGACCTACAGAGAGCGCAGTGAAAAACTTGGACTTGACCCGCTTTGGCTACGGATAATGAAGATGAACTTGTGTTTCCTGTACAGAATAATTCACCATCACATGCACAATTATGCTAACTGTGTCCATATGTCCGTTAACACTAGATACGAGCTACGAAATAAGGAGACAACGGTCATGATTCCAAAGTTCAATACGCGAATCAGGGAGCGTTTCTTCTTAATACACTGCTCAAAGCTTTGGAACAACCTTCCAAGAGCTATCAGAACTTGTTGCACATTGCGTTTGTTTAAGCTTTCGATAAGAGATCATTTAACCGTTCAAAATGTGATAATAATGTTTCGAACAGCACAGTCCTTAGATAACGCTTTTGAGAACGGAGGTAATGGTGCCTGAAAATGCATTTGGTCAAGTGCACAAGGGGCTATATTTGTTGGCCCGCAGCACTTTATTCTTTCTTTTTTCGTGTGCGATAAACTCTCATGTGACTGCTAAAAACTTGTCAAACGATAGAACAAGAGGAATGTAAATATTTTGGACCGCTTCGCGCTACACAAATTTTCATTTTGTGCTCACATTTTTAAACTTATTATACCATGATATGAAACTGCTGTACCATTATTTGATCCGTCCCTTCTAATGTTTGCCGACGATATCAAGATCTGGCGCAGAATCCAGGCGAACGCCGACCAACATGTGCTCCAAAGTTACTTAGATACAGTGTATCAATGGTCGAGCCAAAACTTATTGCATTTCAACGTCAGTAAATGCAAGGTGCTTTCCATCCGACATCAAAGCAGCTACTCATACCGACTCGGAACGGATGTACTGCAACAATCAACTCTCGAACGTGACTTGGGTGTCCTGGTTCAAGATGACTTGGGTTGCTCTAGGCAATCCGAAAGGGCCTCGAAGACCGGGAGCCAACACGTTGGGCTGTTGAGGCGGGCGTTTGGACAAATAAACAGCTCCATATTTCGACAAATGCTCAGTGCGTATGTTCGCCCCCATGTCGAATATGCAATTCAAGCCTGGCATCCATGGCTGAAACACGACCTTAATGCACTGGAACAGCCACAACCTCGGGCATCTAAGAACGTAATTGGAATGCGCAATCGGTCCTACCAGGAGAGGCTGCGACGACTAGGATTGTTCAATGGAAGCTATCGCAGGCTACGAGGCGCCCTGATTATGACATACTTGATTCTGCGAGACCCACATCATGTGTGCCGCCCTTTACTGCAACTCAGCAGCAATACAAATCTGAGGGGCCACTCATTAAAACTCGCAGAACAATACAGTCGTCTGGAGTGCCGCAGAAATTTCTTTTCCATCCGTGTTTGTCACCCGTGGAATGCTCTCCCAGAATCGGTCGTCTCTGCACCGACACTAACAATATTTAAAAGACGGTTGGACGATGCACTCATCCACTTACACTTTGTTACTTAACACTATGTCTCCATCCTACACCTGGAGTTTACCCTGGAATTATTTGTTGTTAACTGTGGCTGTTGTGAATCTAAGTGGATCGCAGGACTGCAGCGAAGCAAACGATAAGTCCTTATTTTCGTATTTAAAGTATTAACTATTTTACTATCCTTTTCATCATAATTGTTATATTGATATCCCCTGCAACTATCCAACGGGGCTTGTGAAGCAACGCTTCTTAACCCGTATAAATTCATTGTTCATTGTTCACTGTTCTGGGAACGGATTCTCGCATCGCCGAGCCATATACAATTTATTTATTTATTTATTTATTTCATAACTTCAGGGATGCTAAGCAACCTAACTTCATTAATCGTGTTGGTCAACCCATTGGCACATTTGGTTTACGCAGTTTCCTGCAAAAAGCAACCAAACCCAAATCATACGAATTTACATATGCGTCAAGTTTTAATGATGATCTAGTGTCTGCCCATGCTTTCCCCGAAAGATCAGAGCCTACGCTTGGTAAATAAGTGACCGTATTATTTGCACCTTGAAGCTGCATGGTCCATAGTATGTTTGCGCTGCTATGTTTTCACTCGCACTGATTCTTCGACAATCCACATAGGTTTTTACTTCGCCTTCGGAAGATGATCGATAGACAGCTAGTGATCCGACAAGTCAGTCCTAATGTGTGTAGCAAATTAGCAATGAACTGTTTAGGATACCTTCTGAAACCTTAGTGCAAAGATCCCACATACCTAGTCCAGTTTGATGATGTTTATTCATTTGTGCATTTCGTTCCAGCATGGACGTGAATACCCATGGTTAGGTAATAACCACGGATCAGACTATTCCGGAGTATTATTTCACGAAACCGCTTCTCCCGAACACTGTGTAAACGGAGTAATAGCGCATCGTGAATATCCCATCAAAGAAAAGACAACAATGCTTGAAAAATCCTACGAGTCCAAGTCGGTAATAGCCGCTCTACCCGGAAAACCTGACTCAAACGTACACGAAATTTCTCAGGGCAAAACTGGAGATGTTGCTCCGAATATGCCTGTTGTACCTCAAACACACAACGTTCCTACCTCGAAACTAAACCTGCCCAAGTAAGTCTGCACTGACACTCACCTCTTGCACCCAGGAATTTAGCTGATGGTAAAGTGGAGTTACTTGAATCAAATACGCTCATTTGCTTCATTGTTCTGGACCATTTTTAGACTCAATTTGCCATAACAATTTGCCTTGTTTTATTAAAGTTACGCTGAGAGTATTGGGACTTGTGTGTTTGAATCTTGATAAGAGAAAGAATATTTGTTTCCTCACTCAGCACTAGTTTCAACCGATGTCAGAAAGAAGTTTCAGCTGGGCTTGCTGAAGCATGCAACAATCAACCCCTATGGTCAGGAAGGTTAACACAATGCGTACCAACTGTTGCATGTATTGCAACTGAATACTGAATATTGGTTCGAAGCAGCGGGTGGAGCTTTCTCTGTGTAGGTGCATCATTCGTCGCTCTTGGACATTTACGCCTTATTTATCGTTCCGCTCTCTATATTTTGCCTCTGCAAAGTGTTTGTCTAAGAGCTTCTTAAATTCGGACACTGAGTTCGCCTCTACTACCTGTTGCGGCAGGTCGTTCCAGATATTCACCACTCTGCGTTCGAAACAGATTTGGTGAGCGAACCGCTTCAACTTCGGTGCGATGAGTTTGTACCGGTGTCCTCGCGTGCAGCTTGGTGTGCGCAGATGAAGCAGTTTTCTCAACATGGGATAATCACTCAGATGTAATATCCGGTGCGTCATGATGAGGTCAACCCTCAGCCAACTGCCTGCAACTTAGCGGTTACTCTGTGTTTGCAGCTAGTAGGAAGACTTTGTAACAACTCCTATCCAAATGACGTAGAGCCGTGATCATGGATGAGTACCGACGCGGGTCTGTTCAAGAATAGTAATATCTCTCGCTGCTACTTATGCTTAGGGGAGAAAAAACCCCGAGTAACACCAACCCACAAAAGTCGGATGATCTCACGATGCTACTGGATGAAGTGCGCCTTCTGCACACAAGATTTCAAATAAGGTTTTATTGGGCCAGCTTCGTGTTAGCAACTTCCATATAGGAATAGAACTGATAATTGCATAGTGTTGTCATTCTGACGTTGTATTATGAAAATTCTCCTATGATACTTTAAACACTGCTGTGAACTCAAGACGAACTAGCCACGGGGGCATTATGTAAAGCGTGCACAACGCTGCTGTTGGCCTAATGGAGCCGATAGACAAATACTTACTCCTCTAGCTTCTGCGTTATGATTTGTGGACACAACGGATTATTGAACAGTGTAGCTCCGTCGCAACGAGACCAGATCTTAACTTGCTACGATGGATTGCATGTCTCCTCGACCTATTGAGTTATACTGGGTGGAGCCTTTGGGCTCCTTGTGAGCTATTCTTACCAGGTTGGTCAATGGTTAGAGGTCAAAAGGACTTAGTCACCTGGTTCTCCAGGTTGGGGGTTTCAAACGGGATGATGCCTATTTTGTATAACCGAATCCTTGACACCACTGCTGGCTTTTGAGCCAAAGGATTTGATTGAGGACCCTAATCTTCCCCCGGTCTAGATCTGGGCGTCCTGGCAGTATCTAAGCCCACATACAACCATGACTATTTCCTCAAATGTTAATTATATACTGCATCAGCTGTAGCTCATCTTAGGAAGGCTTGCTTCATCTGCTGGATACAGCAGAGCGCATAAGCAAAAAAACCTTCCTGTTGACGTCTCCTTCTTCTTTTCCATCTGTTTCGCTTACTCCCCTCACAAAACCCATTCCTAACCTTCCTTCTATAATTCCCAGTTTAATTGACAGCAGCCGCAAAACCCATGCAGTTCAACCATCTGTAGCTGCCTTCCCGCACCATCCACTGGACGCCTATCGCTAAAAGTCCCCCATAAAGTCCAGCTGTCCCGTTACCCTGGCGGCGTTCAACATTCACACTCTAGGACAAATAGATCGACGGGCTGTACTCGTAAGCACCTTAGACACACTGAGTATGTACGTGTGTTGTGCGTCCGAAATGAAGACAGATAATCCGCAAGGGATTGTTGAACTAAGTGCACACCCTATATCCTCTCTATTGGTTGCACGGATGCGGAGACGCTGATGCGGCAGTCACTCGTCACGCTAGGGCTGTCATCCTTCGGTGATTAAATTCCTGTTAGCTGCTTTTGTGTGTAGCCCGTTCGATGGTATGGGCTAAGGTTGATTCACTAGGTATTAATAGAGGCTACTTGTTTGTTGTTTCCGCTTATTCCCCTATGGATTGCAGTTCTGATGCTGCCAAATACACCTCCTAACACGAACTGAATACCCTGCTACACAGTGTTTCCAGACCAACTACGACAGTACTTGCAAAGCACATGAATGTGCAAGTAGGTCGTCTGGGCTCATCAGAAGCTCAGCTAGATGGTCAGTATATGTTTAGATCCGACCATACGGACAACAGCGAGCGTCTGTTGCAAATGTGTGCAGAACACCTGCTGTTTCTTAGTAGCACTGCTTTCAGACACAGTGGGCCTCAAAGTGTCATTTGGCGTCCCCGTGGTTGGCTGGAGATGGTGCCAAATATATCACGTGGCCAAAAGTTACAGATGCACTGGTCCCATTCTGGATTGTCAAGCATTCTGGAATACGTGCATCGCCTTCGATCATGCTTTGGTACAATGTCGTTTTTTCATGAATTTTACCAGGAGACATACCAACCGATCTCTTCAAAATCCCCATATCAAAACCTACCTCAATTATCCCTTCCACCCCTCTATCACATCAACTACCCAAAATCCACCACAAATCCCTTCTCACCATTCATATTTCACACCTACTCCTACACATTCTTCACAACATTTTCCTACCATCACACTACCCTCCCACGCTCCCTGCACATTCTATCCCTTTCCCACTTCATCCAATTCCCCACATCACTCACCAACAACCCCATAACACCTCACTCATCACTCCACCCCACCCCTCTCTCAATTCCTAAATTACTCTACTTTCACATCACCTCTACTTCCCAATATCCTCTATCTATCCACATCACCCCCCCCATTCCCATAATCACTCTTCCTATCTACCTACCATACTACCACCTATCTCTATTCCCATCAATACCCACCCTCCCTCATTCCACTAATATATTCTCCCATACTCAACTATCCAATATATATTTTACTTCACCTTTTACCACCACCAATTCCATACTCATCACTTCATTTACTCTTCTCGTTCTTAGTCGAGACTCACTTCCCCTCCATCATCTTTCCCCAAACAACTCTTAACCACTCACCTACCTAAAAACACATCCTTTCCCCCCATGAATGCCACTTCTCCAATCTTACATCATTAACGTCCTTCTTTTACTTTACATCCCTGCACCGCCCTACACCTCCTTCTTTCCACCAGTACATTACACCTAGTTGGACATTGCTACAGTAGAGGTACTCCCAGCTTATGATGAGTGAAAATCTACCCCTTTCCCCAGATTCAACCCCCCCTCAACCACCCAACCCCACCCTCTCCCCCCCCCCCGCCCACCCTCCCCCCCCCCCCCAACCTACACAACCCCTCCCAATCCCCCCCAGCTCCCCCGCGTTCCACACTCATACAGCGTCTTCTACCGCGCCCTCATTCTCCGTTCGTCGCTGTACCTGCCCACGAACGGGCCAATCACCACCCCCGGCATCTCCCCCTCCCCCCCCACGGCTGAAGAGCAAGCCTGCCCTTACGTCCCCATGTCGGCACGCCCTGTACAGACCATACATACACTAAACAGCAGGTGCTAAAGCAGCGTAACAAGTACCGCAGACTGACAACAGCTGTGTTCCTCGACTTCAATAGTGCGTTCAACTCAGTTGATCGACCCATTCTCTTCGAGATACTTGTGCTGAAAGTGTCCCTACATGTGAACAATTTACGTGCCCTGTACTCGAGTACCGCAGACCGCATCAGGGTCAACGGTGACCTATCAGATGTCATTCCGACAACTAATTGCATTTGGGAGGGTTGTCCAGTTTCCCCAAATTTCTCAGTTTTGTCGAGGACTCCATCTTGCAGTGTTCCCTTGCGATGCCTCAAGATGCATGCGTTGTAGTGATGCCTGATGAAAAGCTAGTTGAGCTTGGTTATGCAAGCGATATTTTTTGTTCATAACAACGATGGGGCGATCCAATCAATCATGTGTGGCACTCAGAAAGAACGGCATATTTCTGTATATAAGAGTAATTTAGAGCGCCGATGAATGCGTTCGTATACACACACCTGAAGTGGTAGTCCAAAAAAGGTTACAAATAAAGGAAAATTGTTATACGCGGATGGGAAGTGCTGTGGCGATAATTTTCTGAGCGCCCGAATTTGGTCCCAAATGGCGTGCAAGAGGTTGCTCATATACAACGATTCAGTGGTCGTAATAGCATGTTAAAAGTAATGGAAAATAGTTACACATAACTGGGTGGTTGCGCCTGCAATATTATACTGAGCGCCCGAATTTAGACCCAACCGAGACTAAATTCGGGCGCTCAGCAAAAATGGCAGCAGCCTTCCCTACTTCATGGTTAACTAATTTCCATCGCTTGTAATGCAATTCCATGATCCATACAGGGGTGTGCACGTATACATTCCTAGGCGCCCTAAATTATTACCACCCATAAAAGTATTGAGCTCAGGAACCACATACTCCACTATCGCACGGCAACCCCCTAATCCTTCAACGTGCATTACACGCGCTCCGCTGTAGCACGAACACGTTCGTGAGGGATGTAAAACTTGGCCATTGACCCAACTGTGGGGCTATCTGCATTCGTAGTACAAAGTTTTCACTCACGCTAGCAGCTGTTTTACGTCGCTGTACAACGAATCAATATACCTCCACAACGCTTTATACAAGAGTACCAGAAGGTTAAGGAAGTTGTACTAAAAAGCACTACTACAGCGCTTTAGTACTAGACCCCGGTGTGACATGCGAGTTCGGTTTGTAATCCTCACACTCTTTGATTCTGTGTATCCAACGGCGAATCTTATCGGTGATGATACTTTCAGTGCATACGGTGCAACTT